AGTATTACGACTCGTGGGTCGAGAGGGACGAAGAGTGTCGGCAACGGTTCACGCGTTACCTAAACACCCAAAGACCGGACATTCAACGCCTGTTCGCACATCAGTTCGCGTTCGCAAACTTTGCCGTTCATTACGTTCAGCAGGAGTTGTGCTCATTCTCGCTCCGGGAGGCTATCGATCGCATATTAGCTCATTTTGAATTAGACGATGGTCAATTATTGCCACCTGTCGGCTATTATATTATGGCCGAGTTGTTATATGACTTACTTGTAGCTATTGATTATTTGCATACAAATACCCCACCTATTATACACCGACAAATTAACCCTGGTAATATTATGATTAAACACGATTCTGATGCCGGTACATTTGTTAAGCTGGGTGGTTTTGGTTTGGCAACAGAGCACATGAATGATGATCAATCGCATACTGAGTGCTCGGGTGTGGACCAGTATTTGGCTCCTGAGGTCCGTCAGGGGCGCCGATACGACACAAAGTGCGATATGTATAGTCTGGGCGTTACTGTTCAGCATATGTTTAATTTTGATGCCAACACTTTGTTGTGAGTATTAAATGAAATTATTAATGAACACAAATTGTTAAAATATATAATTATTAGTTAATTGAATTTAAAAATTATATATTTGTGTTGAAATGTGTTATGTTTTTAAATTAGATTTTATTAATACAATGTTTGCATATAAACTGTAAATTAGTACAAAAATTATTTGTTTTCATAATTACAAAAGTTTACATAAGATATCGGGATATTAATGATAATATAAATTGTTTAATCTGACAAAGAAATTATTTTAAAATCTATTTTTAAACATATTTGAAATAAGCAATTGTAGAAATGTAGATTCCAGTAACTGCGATTAAAATATTACATTTATCGTTTTTACAAATATACCAAGGTTATTAACAAAATTGATTTTATAATTTTTAGCCAAACTGAACAAGAATTAGATACAAATTACGAGAAGATAAAGAAACAAACGTTACGTCTATTAAATAACGTACGAAACGGTCGGCCGTCGGCTCAGGACCTCATTATTAGACACAATGAATGGTCGATCCCTTACGCGTCCGTTAGGGCACACATACTGGCCGTCATTGAACCCAACGGTTCATATGATATCGACAGACAATTTGTTCAATACTTTTTGTTTAAAAAATATAAATTTAATAAAAGTAAATAAAATGATTATTAATAAATGTGTATTAATTAGAAAAATAAATGTTTTATTAATTAAGAATAGATTTATTACATAATATTTTTTTATTATCCATAGTACAATACTATATTAATTAATATAATAATGTACAATACAATACATAATTTTACTCAATATGTTAGTTTACTTAATATTGTATTGTTCAATTAATTTAGTTACATTTAAAATAAATTTATTTAGATCATTTGCTATTTAAGCAGTATATTACAAACTGTTAAACAAATTAAGTATTACATTAAGATTACACCAATTTAATCATGATTAAATTATTGGACCGCAAAATTACTTATATTTTTGTTTTAGATGAATCTGTGTGTAGGCGCCACCTGCAGAATGTGGCCAAGAGATAAATAAAACAAAATTATATAACTTAAAACTTTTTTGTACCCTGTATAAATATTATTTATAAGGTAGATCTCAAAAAAAATTATTTAAGTTTATTCTAAATCTTTCCTGTTAAAAAGGTCATGAAATCTATAGTGTTTAATAGAGAATGTTAATAATAATAAATTCTAATTTATAAAAGCAATTGGTAATAATAAAAATAATTATTATTTTAGACATTATTTGTTAAACAATAATTATTATTTATAAAACTAATCACTACAAAATTAATATTTATAATTTTCAGTCAAACTGAACAACAATTGAATTCAAATTATATAAAGATAAAGAAACTAACGTTATTTAATATTTCCCAGTAATTTATACAATTCGTTTGGAAAGTGACCCAAATTTTTGCGATTGACATTTGACTATGTCTATCATGTAGAGCATCAAAAAGTAGAATATGAATGTAATAGCAAGAAAAAATCCTATAATGTAACTTTCGAGATATTGCCGTCGGGAAAAAACCCTCCCCCATATACTCTCCCATAGAAAATTTAAAAAATGCGCTTAAATGTGTTACGGCTAACACTTGATGATTTATGATGATATATAAACTCATCAAAATTATGAATTCATATTCATAAATAGTAATTGAACTTTGATTACTGGGCGCGTCGATTGTACACTTGTTAATAAAGTAATACAATTGAGAATATATTACACGTAAACAAATTTAGTAATTATTGATAACAATAAACATTATTATATGATTTAATTGCACCAGCTTGAAAAATCATAGTAAGAGTAAATTGTGACTACATTTGGACAAATACTGACAATCCTTTTGTCAAATACTATTTTATCGGCGTTTTTGCGAAATTTAATAGAAATGTTACGAAGTTTTTGTAATTTCGACAATGAATTCAAAATGTTGTCCACATTTTCCGCATACAAACCAATGCTTAACGATTGAAGGTTTGGTAAATTACTGCAAATATAATCAAATTCTCGATCGCTAACAACACATGCAATAGAAAAATGTGTAATTTGTCGGCATTTATTCAATACACTTATGTTTGGCCATTCGCAGCAAATGGGCCCGTTAATTTGCACACTTTTCACCTGGGGCAAATATTTGCCAATTGTTTTCATAACAATTTCCATCATGTTCAATAGTGCTGTTGAGTACGAGTAATAGATTTGAGAAACTCTTAAACGTTTAAGTTTACGACAATTCGCACCGATTTTGTAAAACCCGGTCTCAAAGCCATTGAATTCAGAGCATTCATACGGAAGCCATAAGTCAATTAAATGATGCATTTGTAATATGTATTCAAATATATCGTTAACATTAGTTTTGTTTTGATTATTGATTTTTACAGTCAATTCACGCAAATTTAAGCCATAGTTTTCCATAAATAATTTGAATGACTTGTCAAATATAAATACCGTTTCGCAACCGTTATAACCCCAAAAGTTAACCACAAGCCCAGGTTTAAACTGAGTCTGGTAAGAACAAAACAACGATGTCATTATTTTCACATATTGTTTGTAGTAAAGATCATAATTTGGATCATCGGTATAGTATTCCTGTTTACTGACAACAATTTCTAATTTCTTTAAATTATAACATGTGTGTAGTTTTGTGGCAAAATAATCCATGTTTGCTTTAAGGGGCAAATGTATGAGTAATATATTCAATGTTTTGCCAAAATGTGCAAACATTTGGTCAATAATATAATTATCGTCTCGTGTGTGACTAATGTCCCAGGACAATTTAGTGACATTGTGGCAATTGTTAACAATTGATGTTAAAATTTCTAACCGTAATAATTCATCCCATCCGTCGTCTCCTATTTCCAGACTTTTTATGTTTTGTAATTTCTTCACAATTGTTTCAAATATCGCACTATTCTTAACCTCAACTAATGACTGGAATGCGTTTTCATAACCGATTGATATATGATTTTGTGTATTGAATGCCAATCGTTGCCATTGAGTGGACACACATTCACACCGGAATCGGTCCTCAAATGACAGATAACTCAACAATACTTCACACAAATCGTCGCCAAACCTATCCATTGAGTCCAACAAATACTTTGAAATGCCAATCGTTGCCATTGAGTGGACACACATTCACACCGGAATCGGTCCTCAAATGACAGATAACTCAACAATACTTCACACAAATCGTCGCCAAACCTATCCATTGAGTCCAACAAATACTTTGAGCACATTTTGCAACTCTTATTGAAATTAGAAGTAATTATATATTGGGTTATATACTAATTAAAATTTTAAATTATTATTATCTTACCGTAAATTATATTTAATTCATTATAAAAAAGAAATAATTTTCAATAAATTTATAACAAAATCACATGTTTTTCTAACAAAAGATACCAAACGTGTGGCAAAAGTAATGAACAGTAATAGTGTTGTGAAGGCATTGACAACATTATAATAATGTGATTCAGTAACAAATTAATTTATAAAGGTGATTAGCAATAATATAAAAACACAATAATTTTATTAGTAGATGTTAATAAGCATTAAAAAATAATTTTATTTCACTTATTACAGATGTTTTGTGTAAATGTAAATGAATAAAAGCATTTTAATAATTTATTTTATTTTAATTTAGTATGAACTTCTTATTTACCTTAAAGGAACTTTAAGTAAACATCTTAAAGTTTAATAATTTAATACTGGAAATAAAATAATTGATACAATTTTTGACAAATTATTTAACTTACAAGGTTGTAATGATTAATATTAAAATATTTGATATTTTTCATTTAATAATAAATTACTAAGGATTTTGAATAAATCCCACATATGGATTAGCAGGCACACGATGTTTGCCACTAACCGGTATGTCAGTAAACCTGGCCAATTTACCACCTTTATAAAACTTTGCCCTAAACTTCAACCCAGTAGGTCGAGTATCTTCCGGCCGAGCGTACACCAAGCTAATCTCGTAATCCACGTAATCATTGAGCTTGTTGAATTTTTGCAAAAACTTTTGCACATGAGCCTCGACGGTCGACTTAAATTCACCCCGATTTTTGCTCAAATTCTGGGGAAATAGATTATACAGCTTCATGGGCCCGCCCAACACCGAGGCCACCACATGGCCACAATCGTCGCCACCCCATGAGCCCCGGCCCATAGCCCTTACCAGTGCGGCCATTGTCTTGTTTTTGCTGGTATCCTGCCCCGTGCCAATATCACCTGGGCGAATTACGGCGTGTACGTATAGGGCCTGACCATTGGGACCCTCCCGGTGCCGGTCGATAGGGTTTGCTGCCCATGTAATGGTGATCCAGGTCGCAGTTAACAACAGGGTAATAGTTAGTAGTTTAAGCATAATGTTATTTGCATTAGTAAACTGTTTTCAATTGTTTTAATGTGGTTTTAAAAATGTCAATAGTATTTATACTGTCATAAATAGGATGTAATTTTATTTTATAAATTGCTATAAATATGGTTATGATCGAGCGTTTGCTGTAACAAACATGGTATTTATTGTTTATTATTTTTTGTGATAATTTTTGCGAAAATAAATGGCAACAATTTCAAAGGAAACTGCAATCTGTTTCCACCGGGGTATTTATAAAATTACTTTATTATTTAAATTGTTTTATTGTTAAATAATTGTTTAACTATAAATATAAATGTACATGTTGTATTATTGGTTTGTAAAATGAAATAAATTTTATTATAACCTTATGTTTGTTTTATGATATTTTAAATTTATTTGTTTAATTTGTTTAATTTCTTAATATCATGGTTCAATGCAGTTAAAGCAGGAAATAAGCTAAAAATTTTGTTTTAATTTTAAGCACAATTTTTAATGTGTAAGCTATTGTAATAGTTAATGTGTTAATGTATATTTAATGTGGAATATCATACTTTAATCGTGAAGCTAAATTTTATATAAAATTCAGGTTATCATAATCTATTAATAGACTAATAATGACTATTTTAACAAAGATCCATTACAATCATTTAAGAGGTCATAATAATCATTATTTAATGCAATTATGAACAATAACTATCATTAGTTTAATATAAAATCCAGTAATAAATTGTTATTTCAGCTATATAAGTTTGGTTTAAGATACAGATAAGTACAGTACAGATAAGATATTTAAAGCTAATGTAAATTGCCAATATTTAAATTTTTAATTAAAGAATTTACTTTCTTATATTTATTTAATATTGGTTGTATTTATATCAAAATATAAATATCAATCAAAGCAATGCATAGAATTA